GCCACTGGCACTGGCTCCTCCACTTTTCTTTATGGAACTACCACTGTCTGCTGTATCCTAATGAATAAAAATGTAGACTAAGAGAAAGAGTACACTGAATTGTTTGAAGGCAGAAATCTAATAGGCCCTAGATGCCAGAACAGAAAAGGCAGAGAACACCTATAATTCCAGCTCTGGGAAGGCCAGCCAAGTCTACATTGTGAGAATGTTTGGAAAAATCAAAATAGAACTAAGGAAGATGTCTAAATCCTGCCTTTACTATTTTTTTATTTACCTATGAGTATTAACCTGAGGTCTACTGTCTTTTTTGGTTCATTTGTTAGTTTGTATACCTCAAGTTGACCTCAAACTCACAATCCGTATCCATGGCTCAGCAGCTTCATTTTTTAAATGGAAGTAACTCAATATCGTATTTGCTACCCCATGAGGGAATCTAAGTCTCTAAAGAGGCAATAGGAGAAAACCGTTATTAAATGAAAATGATTGTTCGTGGGATTCCTGCCCTACTATCTTTAGCCCTGACGTAATAAACCTTAAACAAAATGGTACAAATGGAGCAGAAAGTCAAGAGTAAAATCACAAATTTTGCAAAAACTGGCTGTTAGTTGGCACTTCTTTAAAATAAATTATGAGTTTATATTATTGTCTTCTTTTGCATGACTGATATTTTCCATTAAAAAAGCATTTGCATAAAAAAATTGCTGTATTAGAGAACTATTCAAATTAAATTAAACATATCCTCAAATGGAATAAAAGGTTCTGGCACAAACAAGTTAACTAGTGGAAAAAACAAACTCACTCAGTGGTTTTTCTACTAATTTTGCTGTGAACTGATAATGTCTGAGAAATAAAAGTTTAATTTTTCATACTCAATGTAAAGGATACACATTTTGCTGCTATTCAACTTTGACAGAAAAATGATTTCCAAAAATCACTTAGTCCATTTTCTCTTTCAGAAAATCAGCTGTACCACTATCAAGGAAAGTCTAGTATCTATTTTGACTATAAGTACTTAATAACAGATAAACCAGTTCTAGAGACTAGTGATTCACACCAGTAATCCGAGCTACTGAGGAGATCTGACAACTGAAGTTTGAAGCCAACCCAGGCAGGAAAGTCCTTGAGACTCCTACATCCAACTAAACACCAGAAAAAACATGAAGCAGAGCTATGGCTCAAATGGTAAATAAGAGTGCTAGCGTTGAGCAAAAAAGCTCAGTGACAGCTTGCAGGCCCAGTGTTCAAGCCTCAGGATCTGAACAACAATAATAATAATAGTAACTTTTAAAAAACTTTTTAAAGAAAAAAAGAAAGGAAAAAAAGAAGCAATCAGTGAGGTTCTATTTGCCAGGGGAATCTATCTGATGATGTGCTTATGTTTCCATTTTATGTAAAACACTCCACTACTAAACATTAAGTTTTAAAAGACTAGTAAAACTGTCTACAGTTTACCGTCCAAAGGATCTACAGCAAGACCGAACTGGCAACGAGTGACTAAATCTGTTTATCTAAACTGTTGTATCTAGATTTCAATACCTCAGGCAAACGGTCCTGAAGGCTCTCAATGCAACAGGATCAAAATCAAATTTCCAGATTGCCTTTCATCAACTCCTTTCATTCTCTACAAGAGCCACACAAATTATCTACCACTCTGTAAGTTACATTTACTGCCATTTTCCAAGATCATTTATTTGCTCCTGTTTTCTCTAAACTTCTATAATTTCTTTCTTCCCTTAAAACTGTATCTACATGAAAACTTCTATTGCATTGCAGGGCCAAGTTTTAAAATTAAAGGAAATAATCAAGAGGTGCTAAGCTGGCCTGCAAGTCTCAGAATGAACTGAGACTAACAAAATGAAGTAAACAGTCAAAAAGGAGCCAAAGTAGCTCCCAAACCAGAACTCAGCTTCAACACACCTGTGATACTCAAATGAGGGGACCCACTTCTGAAGACACTGTCTGTCCCCAGCGCCTCTGAGTAACACTCTTTATCTACTTTAAGAATGTACTTATCTAGGTATATATTTTCAGAATGTTACAAATTACTCAAAATACTCGTTATAGAAATATATACACTTGAGCCGGGCGCTGGGTGGCTCACGCCTGTAATCCTAGCTACTGAGGAGGCTGAGATCTGAGGATCGCGGTTCAAAGCCAGCCAGGGCAGGAGAGACCGTGAGACTCCTATCTCCAATAAACCACCAGAAAACCGGAAGTGGCGCTGTAGCTCAAGTGGTAGAGCGCTTGCCTTGAGCTGAAGAGCTGAGGGACAGCACCCAGGCCTAGAGTTCAAGCCCCACGACCGACAAAAAAAAAAAAGAAATATATACACTGGGTGACATGGCGATATATGCCTGTAACTCCAACATCAGCTGGAGGGTCTCAAGTTCAAGGCCAATCTGGCCTAGAGATCCCTAATCTCAGAAAAGAAAAAACAACAAATACACACTTGTTTATACAAAGGCCGAAAATGAATAAAAACCATAGGATACCATAACAACGAAATGGTTTGGATGCATTATTTACTTCAACAATCATTTCATTCACAAGAATACTGAAAGATATTTAGGGCCAAAGCTAGTGGAAGAAGCTAGATTTTATTTCCATTACTACCTTCCAATCTTTTAAGTAGCACTAAATTCATACACTATGTGGCTATTATCATAAATTTTGGCAGTAGTTAGATGTTAATTTATGTAACACACAGAGCTGAAAAAAAAAAAAAGAAAACAAGTACAACTACAAACAGGTCACCTTAATGTGACGAGAAAAAAACACACCCCAGATCATAATTTGTGTCATCAAGTTTAAAATGTCACAGAGCAAAGCAATCCCCAGAGCCAGTATGCAGCGTCTAACCACTCCTCCAAAACAAACTCCTACCTGGCAGCACCTGGTGTCGGTTATGTATGTGAAAACTGCCATTCTGCCCTACTACACACCATCATGCTCCACTGAATATTTAGTCCTGCTTTTTAAAAGCTATTTTTACCTAATAAGCCAAAATAACAACACAATTCTTGGTGCTAATTTGCCAAATTCTATTAACAACAAATACTTCAGAGTATCTGCGGAGATCCTAGGTTCAAAAATATAAACATGTCTTCACACACTGGCATGGCCATAAATTGTGCACCTAATATGAGCTGTTTATGTTGCCTCAAATAGTAATTCTGTAACAAATCGATTCCAAGTGATTTAAAAAGGGAATTGCTCAAACTAAGTCATATTATTTTCACTGCACCTAAATTACACAAATGCCTAGGAGGTTCACCTAAAAAAGTCACTAGACATCAGGGGCTCAAATCTGTAATCCTAGCTACTCAGGAGGCTGAGACCCGAGGATCAAGATTCGAAGCTAAGCCAGCATACAGACAAAAGAGACACTAATCTCCAACAGTTGGGGGTGTGGCTAAAGTGATAGACTGCCAACTGTGAGCGAAAAAGCAGTAAGAACTGCAGGCCTGGAGTTCAACAAACCTTAGTAGCAGTAAAAAAGAGAAAAAAGAAAAAAAAAAACAGAAAAAGACATTCTACTGGTGTGACTAAAAGCAATACTCAGTCAGTTGCGTTTCCCTCAGCACTTCCTTATTTTCCACAGATCCTAGCGCCACAAACTTCTTTGTAATCAAGAGGAAGGCTGTTAACCTTGACATTTCATGGTCTTTGAAGAGGGCAAGTTAAGTGTTCCACTTTTGCTTATTTTTAATTAACAAGGCAATTACTCCCACCTACTCTGTGAGAGGAGATGAGAAATCTGTCAGGGGCCCCCTAATAACTGACACATAAGAATTATCCTGCGAGGAAAGACAAATATAGAAAAGACTATTGCATTACAAAAACCCTGAGTCATCACCCAGTTCACTCAGCAGATTTGGGTAAACACCGTGACTGGTGTCCGGTGTGTTCACTCACCCGTAGCCACACGCCTGAGTGTACCACGTTCCCAGATTTTACCTACAGCGAACAGATCGAGACTCTGCAAACAATTCTTTTCCGAAAAGTTTCGGATACAGTAAAAATGTTCATCTACCAAGTAAGGTTTACTTACACACACACACACACACACACACACACACACACACACTAGCGTACCAATTTTTCCTCAAATTTCAGTGACTCTCTAGTTTACAACTTGTTTATCAAGGGAGCTCCCGAAAGTGACTAGTAAACACAACCGCCCTCCCAGTCCAGATAACAGCAACCCCCGACAGCTGCTCAGCCGCTCTTCCCCATTTTCCGTAGAATCGTTGAGGTCTCGCCACAGGCAATGTCACAACAGGACCGACACACACTTTCCTTAGAATCTAAGACAACATTCGCCAGCCGGCCAGTCTACCCCGCCACCCAGGACTGCGCTGGGGGCAGATTTAAACTAATCTTTCCGATCAAAGGTTCCGAGCTCGGACAAACCTCAAACACCAACTACCTTGCAGGCTGCCCTGAAGGCCTCCTTCCCATTCACAAAGTTCCCAGGCGCGAACCCGAGACCCGGAAAGTGGCGAGGCTGGAAGAAGGAGGAGGAGGAAGAGGAGGAGGAGGAGGAACCGGAGCCAGCCCGGGGGGGGGGGGGGAAAGAAGTGGAAAGCGAAGTCAGGAGACCGGTCCCTAAAGACAAATCCTGCCCCGCCTCTCCCCCGAGGCAGGCTCCACGGAGGATCGCTCCTCCGAGGCTCTCCCCGGAGCCTCGCAGGTGTTAAGAAACAAACCCAACGCTCGGGGAGCGGCAGCCGGCCAGAAGAACCTCGGAGGTCCTCCGAACCAAGTGGCCTGAGTGTTTTCCGGGCTTCGGTCGCCACCCGACGACCACTGACTGCCCCGCGGACAGCTAGCTGCAGCCAGGACCGAGCTCCGGGGTCCGTCCGTCCGCCCCAGACAAAGAGCCGTCCCTCCCCACTCCCGACGGCCTCTGCCGAGCCGCGGCTTCCGCGGGGGCCCCCTTCTTCCCCGGGCAGGTGGGAGTGGACGGTCCCGGGACCACCACCACCCCGCACACTTACGTAGAGAGTTTCCTGGTCCAGAAGAGGCCCCCCGGCCACAGCTCTTGGAGCTGCACGGCCCGGCCCAGGTTGCTCTTGATCTGGGCCAGTTGCAAGTCGGACTCTGCGTCCAGCCGCTCGGCGTAGGGCAGCAGCTTGTTGTACACGATCTCCTTCTGAGGGGCGAAGCCCCGCGGCCCCAGCCCGGGACGCCCGCCGGGCTCCGGGGGCTCCCCGCCTCCCGCCCGCTC